GGGGGTGTTTCAGAACTCGAACCGCAGTCAGCTACATGGGAATCCAGCGATATAGCCACTATGCCAACTGCTAGTCCCAATCACCTCTACTCTCTGTCTATAAAGCTAGGGAGTATAGGAGAAAATCAGCCTCAAAATTTGTTTGTTATCACATGACGCATCCAGAGAGACAGGGGTTTTCATTTGTTTATACAACTTATTTCTAGACTCCTAAGATAGGTGTTCAGTTGAATTGCTATTGTATTTTGTGCTCTGTAGAATTTTGACATTTACTCCTATATTTCCCCCAGCTTAAGCTGGGTGATGGTACATGAAATTTATTATACTGTTTACATTTGATTATGCTTGAAATTTTCCCCAAGTCTTTTTTTTAAAATTAGACAGAAATGGCTCATATAAAGTCAAGTATATATATGAAGCAGAGTTTATGGAAATATTGAGGGAGTGTAAAACAGAGAGAAACACCACACAATCAAATATATGAATATTGTTCATAAGGTAGTTCTATACTTTTTTTTTTCTTGGGGAGGTTTTTGCTATAGGGCGCGTGTGATCGCCAGAAAAACAGAGACAGAAAGCAAGAAATCACCCCCCGGAGGGATGGACACACCGCAATCCCTTCTCCTCCATTCTCCTCTCAGGATCTTGGGCACTCACACACATGCGCCCGGCGTGAGTTTAAGCCACCTGGTCCAGGACTGAACCGTGGTAGACTACATGGGAGTCCAGTGACATAGCCATTATGCTAACTGCTGGTCCCAAGGCAGTTCTATTCTTAAAAATCCTTTAGCCACCCAACACCCAGTGGCTTCTCACTGGTATTTATACCTCCCACCTTCTATTCATCCAGCTTCTACGTGTCTTGCTGACTCCTCTTCACCCACTCTGTTGTCACTGAAGTTTTGGATTCCTCACCCTCTATTGCAAAGAGCAGTTTTTTCCTTGATTATAGTTAAAATGCTCAGCTGAGGAACAGGTCTTCATTTTAATAGGACCCATTCTTCTTAGGGGGATTTGTGGGTATGACCTGAAAAAATTTATTCTGTTACACTTTTAGTACATTCATCAGATATTCAGATACACAGAATAGCCATTTCCAAATCATGCATTTGAGAACAGCAGTCATTTGTTTACGGTCATCTCTTTGCCTGTCCTAATGCTTTTATTAATTTTTATTTTTTAAAACTAGATTTTGAGACTAGTCTTGACACTGCATTATATTGTTTCCTTTAGGCATAGAGAGAGCTGTCATTGCAACTGCCAATTTATAAATGTCCAGGTTGTCAAAGAACTCCCTGGCCTCCTTACTGTCAATAACTATTTTTGACATGTCTTGATAACTCCTTAACCTTTTTACATTTCTCATTACTATTCATCTTTTCTAAATCATTATTTTAAAAAGAGCTGACATTCTCTAAAGCACTTAGGATTAACCATCAATTTAATGTATCTTTTTACATAGTACACCTACCTACAGACACATAGCACTAAGTCTCCCTGGATGTATTTGTAAAAGCCACATTTAATCTCAAACTCCTTTTGCTACCATTAACAGAAGTTTTTTTCTTCTGTCTTTTCCTTTTGTTCCTAAATCTCAACTGATCCACAAATTTTTCTTCGACTCTAGATTTTCCAGCATTAGGTATGCATTACTGGCTGCATTTTTGTCGTAAGAATTGTAATTTATTGAACCATAATAACAGTGTCCTCTAAAACAGTCACTCCCCTGCCAATCCTCACCAATTTACATACTTCCCCATTCCCATAAATTTGCTTTCTAATTACCTCATGTGGATGATCAGAATTCTAATCCATTGTAGTGCTACAGTCAAACTCAGAAGCATTAATTCTAATACATTTACCACACTTTAAGCCAGAAGAGTCTACTATAGGTTTCCTCCAGGAGCTGTTCCTGATCCTCCACATCTTGACTTACTGCCCACTCTGTGCATTTCTGTAATCTCTAACTATGTCCGCCACTATGTCCGCAGCACATACCACGTTTCATCACTCATCTGCCTCTAATATTGGACTGTAAGTGCCAGGAGGGCAGGAATCACATAGTCTCATTCTCCAGCAAATTTCTAGGATCTGTGCTTGGCTTATATGAGATGCCCCAAAAATATTTAGTAATGCTTTTATCATTTTGCCCTTATATCAGATCAAAGGAATCCTTTCCAAAAAATAAAAAAGATTACAATAGATACCTTGGGTTGTAGGAAAGCCATGACACATTGTTGCATTTTAAAAAAAAAAAAAAGAAAGAAAAATACATCATGACTTTCCCAACAACCTAATAATGATTGCAGAAGTAAATTTAACCCTGTAAAAAGATAAAGGAAGTGAAATGGAAGAAAGAGGTATTATCAGAATGAAAGGGAGGATGAATTGCAGACACTTCAATATATGAAAATAATGTTTTTCTAAAATTATTTTGTTTTCCTGTACATAAGTTCATTTAAGCTCAAAACACATTTTCTGTAAGAAAAAAAAAAATGCTCTAAGTTCTTGGTCTGGATTCCCAAAGCAGTCCATCTTTTATGAAACAATTGAAATATTGATCTATCGACAGTGACAGATGATGGCAACAAAAGGAGTAGCTTTGTCTTATTAAGCTTATCATGCTCAGGTGCTGTTTGTTTGCTTTTTGTTTGTTTATTTGTATTCTCGCCTTTCATTCTTCTGGGAAAGCTGTAAAATAGGCGTTATTATTTCTTCCATACAGTAGAGTGAATTGAGGTCTAGAAGGGTTAGTAACTTACCCAAATTGGCTAAGCTAGAAAAGTATAGGAGGTCATTTTTGCTTTGTTTTGCTTTGCTTTTTTTTTGTTTTGTAGGAAATTGTTTTTTTTATCCAGATTTGTATGATGGCAAAGCCATTGTTCTTTTCATTATGCAAAAAGTAATTATAACACTGGTAATTTAAAAAACGTACAAAAACAATGAAACTGATATATATATATATATAGAGAGAGAGAGAGAGAGAGAGAGAAGTCTTAACTGCTGCTCCCTGCTACACCAAAAAAAATTTTTTTAAATTATACTTGAGTATTATTGGAGGCAGTAAGTAGGAATGGTAAAACACAGTGAAATAGCTCAGAAGTGATTTTCAAAAATATTGATCTTCTAATGAAATATCTACTCTAACTACTCATATAATCTTGTACAAATTACTTAGTCTATTTGGCCTTAGTTTTCTGATTGTTAGAACAGGACAATCCTGTGTCCTGATTTGTACTTCTGAAACTATTTTTTACCATGCATGCGTGTTCAATTGTAGTATCATGGACAGATGTCAGAAAAGCCTTAGCTTTCGGACCAGCAGATAATGTAATGGTTACATCACTAGACTTCCACGCAGGAGACCACGGTTTGAGTCCTGGGCTCAGCCACTTAAACTCACACCAGGCCTGTGTGCCTGTGTGCCCAAAATCCTGAGAGGAGAATGGAGGAGAAGGGATTGTGGTGTGGCCAATCCCCTTGAGGGGTGATTTGTCACTTTCTGTCTTGCTGTCTCTCTCTGCTTCAGTGAGTACACATGCCCTATAGCAAAAATCTCTCTCAAAAAAAAAAAAAAAAAAAAGGGAAAAGAAAAAGAAAAGCCTTAGCCTTAATACCCAGTGTATCCCAATGCCAGTTCACCAAAAAGCAGATCACCATGAGAGTATAAATTAGATGAAAAACATTTTAACTTTTCAACCATTTCCTTGATTGCTAGTGATTAATTATTGATATATTCAAAAAATTTATTTTTACTACCTTCAAACAATTTGATGAAATGAGAGCTTTTAAAATTACCTCAGGGTGCCAGCAGGTGGCATAGTGGTTAAAAGCCCTGAACTCCCACATGGCCAACCGTGGTTCAGGTCCTGGATTGGACAGCTTGAAAGTCGTGCAGGACACATGTTGCATGCATGCCCCAAATCCCAGGAGAAAATGGAAAAGAAGGGACTGTGAGGTGTGAGGAGGCCATCTGTCCTGGGAGGTGATTTCTCATTTACACCTTCACTGCCTCTCTCCAGCAAGTACATGCAACCTATGACAAAAACCTTAAAATAAAAATTAAAATAATAAACTCCTTAAGACTCTCATTTCATAACGAAGCAGAAATGTCCTGTAATAGTCCAGCCCGTTACTACCTACCTCCGCGTCTCGTTTCTCATTACTTCCAGGTCTTCTTTTCAGTGCTTACCCAATCACCATGGCTTCTGAATGCTTAAATTTTTAAATCTCCTATCTCTTTCTAGAATTCTTTTCCTCTCCCTCCCCAACTAATAAACATTATTTATCTTTTAATACTTAGCTCATGCCTCACATTTTCTAGAAAACCTTCCCCAAACGCCTAGGCAGAATTAAACTCTCCTGTACTTCCATAGCCCCTACGGATACTTCCATTGCATAAGCTCCTGGTGCTCACCTCTGAATATGACACAAGTACTCAATAAACGTTTGTCATCCTTAATTGAATATCAAATGTCTAAAACCCTACTATTACTCATAGGTTTTTTATAGGCAAGAGGGTCATGGCAACAGTCAAATTATTGAAACACAGAAACCTCAAGCAATAGTACCACTCCCTGATCCTGGAGTCTACATTATTGAAGTTCGAGCATACAGTGAAGGTGGGGATGGGACAGCCAGTTCCCAAATCAGGGTACCATCATATTCAGGTAAGTTGCTGTAATAGGTATAATTTGATGACCACCACCAATATCAAGATTGATAAGATGGATTGTACGATTCAGTGATCTTGAGGTTTCTCTTCTCACTGATCATGATACCATCCTCTAATTGATATGAACCATGGTTATCTGCTCATAATTGTGAATTCATACAAATCAACGGAAGAATTGGTGTTCAAATTTGAATGTTCTCATTTGTGACATTCTCTTGCCAATTCTGGTCTTAAGGAGTGCCTTGCTGACAATTTGGGCTTGAGAATATTTTTGCTCCATTTCCTGAACTATGCACTCTAGGAATTATTTCATTCTTCATGCCTGCAACTTGCAGTGTTTACTCTCAGTGCATTGTTGGTGAAAATTACATGACATCTCCTGATCAGATAGACTTGTTAGCTGTAATATAGCCTTTTCAACATAGAAGTCCATTTATATTTATACTTTTCATTTATCTTTCAGAACCTCTGACAATGTCTTGTTTCCTAAGAGTGCCATCTTCAGAAACAGGACTAATAATGCACTGATTTGTAACATACAGCAACTCTTCCCTTGCCCAAGAAAAACCAAAATAATTTGTTGTACTTCATGCTTCTTTTTCTTCACAGGTGGGAAAATCACAAGTGCTCAGTCAACGCTCCACACTCTCTCTACATCTTCATCCTCACTAACTTTGCTCTTGGCATTGGTGATTCCTTCAACCTCCTGGTGAACACTGCTGATGTCATTGCTTGTCTTTGCTATAGTTGAATAACAGCAGTGACTAGCATATCAATCTACGTGATGACCCAGGATCCTGGATGAGCTTTAAGACCTTGGAACTACACACGGTGCACTTACAGGAAGTTAGGGGGAATATTACTTATCATCAGGTTTCTCTTTGGTTTTTGTAAATGGAGAGGACAGTTCTTGGTCCAATAAAAAATATGCAGATTGTATGTAATGAATTTTTGTAAGCAAAGGTAATTTCTGTCAAATGTATTCTTTACTTTTTTTAATATGTTGGAATTTGATTTTCTATCTGATGACTCTGAGTGTGTGCCATCCATTTGTTAAGCAAGTGGTCTCTAGCAGGTCTGTTTCATAAACAAATACAAAACTGAGAATGAAAATTTTGCCTAACACCAAGTCCAGTGTTTTTCATTTTCCCTCCGGTTGACTATTCCAATTGCCAAACCAGCAGGAGATATGAAAAATACTTAAGTTTTGTGGTCCATTATAGGATAAGTACATAAAAATTTTCTAAAAAAATAAATAGTGTATGATTGCATAGTGAAATAGCGAGATTTGTCAATATGCTATTCTACATGCACCCCTTAGAGCAAGTTATTAGGGTAGGGAATAAGCCATTTACATTAGTACAAGGCAAATAGAAAGTGAGTCCAAATGAACAGAAGTGCTATTGTTTGTCATCAAGTACTATGTTATCTAGCAGCAAATATGGTAAACGTTTATTTTTAATAACAAAAGATTTTAAAGTTACCCAAAAAATGATTCACTAAAATCTGCTGACTCTGACATGATGCCACAGGTGCTAACTTCAAAATGAAATGAATATGGTACATAGATTTTTCTATTTCTCCACCTACTGCCAAAACAGATGTTGAAGTAGGTCCAAGAGTTTCTTCTAATTGCAAATAACTTTAAGAACAGTGAAAATTTGTTATGCAAATGATTATGCATAGTCAGTGGATTAAAATGGTTTGAGCATAACAAATGCATTTTGATTTTTTATAAAGTTCATGCATCACTTACCACTTGTAAAATCTTACCAACTAGTTAAATAAAGAGAATCTCTCGGATAAATTGATTTTTCTTTTAAATTGAGCTGTGGAAACATGGCATCAGTATGAAGGCTCAGCTAGCTAGTCTAGCCTGCCATGCACTGCTTGATTTTGTGGCTGGGGAGATGTGGTTTCTATCTGCACTCTGAGGAATCATCCTGAGCCTGTGTGATCCTAGATAGTTTATGGAAAGCAGAGTGAACAGTTTCTACTTGATATTTTACAGAAATTCCAGCAAACATAGGAATGTGCCAGAATTAGCATTACACCCATGAAGATGCCTGAAAGAACAGTTATTGCAAAGTCATTTGCGAGAACAGACCTGAAGAAATGTATTTAACAGGTGATGTTAATATGAGAACTAAGAGTAGTTTTCTTTTCTATAATCTAAACCTGTTAATTGTATCTGTATCTGTAAATGACAGGCAAAATGATGCAATGATGAGCTCAAATTGCTGGCTCTAAAGGTCAATCCTTCTAGAATCAGAGGACGCTGAGACTGGACTTTCTGTACTGAACGTCCTAAAAGATTAGATTCAGAGCCACAGTATAACCATATATGTCAGCTAATGATTCTCTTTGGGGGAATTATGTCTAAAACACCCTTAAACAAATAAGAAGTGATTTTGAAAACTATCTTAGTCAATGGATCATTGTCCACTAAAGATAGTGGACAATTAAGCCTGTGGATAAAAATAACCAAGTGACCTTCTTTGAAAGCCTCCTTTGGAGTAGGAGAAGCTGGACTTTGCAAATAAAGGGATTCTGTTTGGCCAGCAAAACAGGAGCTCTCCCAAGTATGGTGTAACTTTCAAAAACAAATTGTGCATCTGAAAAAATGCCAAAAGGACATTAATAAAATTGTGAATTATTTTTATATATTGATAAGTTAAACCATTTTCATTTTCCCTGTCATATTATATTTAGTGAAAAACTTTAAGAATCAAGTTACTACTAGCAAACTCTTCCAAAAATTAAAGCCCAGTAAAATATAATTTCAATATATGGTAAATTCAAATTAACCAATACTTCCAACTAGCTGATGGATGGTACATATCTGATATATTATTTACATAGAGAATGTCTGATGTCATATTCTTATGGGAATCAGAGATATGTGATGTTTTTACTCAACATGCACAAAATATGTATTTTGCATCATAAACCTACTTAAGAAAAACAAGTTTTCAATGTTTATGTACTTATGTATTACGTATTTGTTACTTTGTAGAAATCAAAACAGCATTCTTTATCAAGGGACATTATTTTTCAGCTGCAGTACTAACTGAGGTTTGGTTTTTTTTTTTTCTTGAATGGGATAGTAACCACACAGTCTTATGTCACTAAAGAGACTGTATTTTTGTAAGATGTCAATTGAACTATGAAAACAGCACTCCTCCTAATTAGAAATTTCATGAGAGCAAATGTTTTGCATACTCAAATGAAGGTACTGTGGACCCCATGTCAAACTGTTCAATATATTGTATACAATATGTATATATACTATATATAAGGTATATACCATGTGGAAGGCACAGTCAGATACTAGTTCTGTGTACTGTTCTTGTACCATTAGATCTTTTTAATAAATAATTCTCTTTTTATTGACTTTTATCTTCTCTCCTGTCAACTACATGTATCACATATTTCACAATTATGCTTCTGTTTTCACACTGATAATATCAGCATGTTAGGACTCTGCATGCTGGGATGATTTGGGTTCCACAATCTCCATAGATGTTTGTGGCAGTTCCAACTTGAATAGCTGAAGCTATGTCAAATAATGAAACAAGCAAAGAAGAAAAGACCGGTGGGAAAAGTTCAGGATTAAACTCATGATTTATTTCTTCTCAGAAAAGAAGACTTTATTACATCAACTTTTTAAAGAATTTTTTAAACATGTACTTTTGTTTGTCCTAAGAACTGTTAATCCCAGTCTATCCCAGGTACAGTTCTCAAAGAGTTGTTCATTCTTTGGGGTCACCTTAGCGCCATGTACACATCTCTATTATGCAACCAATATCATGACATAATGATTTGTTCATCAATGCTTCTCCTTCTATCTATTATCCAGAGCAGAATATGTTATATTCATCCAGGGGAGACTATTTTCTATTCATCTTGGGATTTCTCTCACCAGTGCCCAATACAGTGCCCAATACATTCAACTCACTGATAAACTTCATTTAATTTAATGTTGGACCTAGAACTTTCTTCAGAACATACTTCCCAAACTTGGGTTACTATTCCAATTTACCTGGGATGCCAAATCTCTGAGTTCTGACTTAATAGGTCAGAACCTAGGGAATTCTTTTTTTTTTATTTTTTATTTTTATTTGTTTAATTCTTCTCAAACACAAAATGATATAAATATATTGAATGGGATATGTCAACATCTAGCAAAATAATAAAATAATAAATGATATACCCTTAAGCTAGCAATCCCACACTTACAAATCTATTCCTAAAAGAAACTAGCAAAAATATACAGTGCTAAGTGAATAAACAAGATGCAGAAGAGTGAATATATGCCCCTTTTGGGGGAAAAAAATACAAACACATAATTGCTAAAATTCTCAAGGAGAAACAGTAGACTAAATAAACATTAATACAATTTGTTATTCATTGAGAAAAGACAAATGGGATGCGGGAATACCTGGTATGCAAACTCTTTCTCAATGTTCTTCATAATTTTGACTTTGGGACTACACAAATGTTTTACATTAATTTAAACATTAAGCTAAAAAGAAAAAAAATGCAGCCTCCAAAAGTTGAGAGTAATGGGGAAATGACTCTAAATCTGTTAACCAAATAGTTGATAAGTTAAAATTTTTTACATAATTATTAGCATATAGATGAAAATGTCAAGCCAGTATTTTGACACCTTTATTGGATATGTACTTCAATGACAATGCACACATGGACACTATGTTAAACTACATTTACTGGTCTTTTTGCCATAGCAAAACTTATGTTACTTTTGAACTAGCAAAATACATAACATGTTAAGAGAATTATTAGGTTGTCAGAAAAGTCATCCCAACAACCCAATAAAAAGGCAAATTTTCCGGATATGAAGAAAGGGATACATATATAAAATCTTTTTAAGTTACATAAAAACATGTAAACTTTGATTTGGAAATGCCAGTACAAATTAATAATTCAGTTAACCTTTTTCATAAAGTTGACCTATTATCCAGATTTCTTCACTGAAAAGTTCTAGGCGAGTAATGATTATCCTTCATGCCCCAGTGATGCATAAATAATAGACAAATCATAGTCTCCATATTTCATTTGTCACTAAAAGGAAATGGAAATTTCTTAAAAATAAATGGCTTATTTAAGGCTTACTGTGGTCATGACAAAAGACAACTTACAGGCCTCCTTCTGACAAAGTGGGACAACTTGTGCTCACGAGGCATAATGACTACGAGGCATAGTGACTACAGTAACTATCATAACTATTGTACTTGCTTGCTTTCTTTTTGTAGGGGTGTTTTCCTTAGGGCATGTGCTCTCACTGAAGAGAGACAGTGACAGAGACAATGAGAGGAGAAGTAAGAAATCACCTCCAGAAGAGATGGGCACATCACAATCCCTTCTCCTCCATTCTCCTGGAAATTTGTGCATACATGTATACATGCCCAGTGTGAGTTTCAAGCTGCCACGTCTGAGTCTTGAACTGCAGTTGGCCATGTGAGAGTCTAATAACATAACCACTATGCCATCTGTGACCCCTTTCATCATGTTTTCATGCACCAATCATTGCCTGTCTTTGTTAGGTACCACAGTTATCTTCTGAGACTCGTTCGAAAAAGAGAAAGGATTAAGATTTGATCCTATTTTTACCTTAAAGACTATGTTTCAGGATAATCAAATAGTTAATGAAGAATATCTCTACTTTGTAAAAAAAATTACAACTAGTAAATGTAAAAGGAATGAAAGAATTTTAAAAATAATAAATCCAATAAGCAATGATTATCACTGGACATTAAAACACAAGGTAAAATGCTGATAAAAAATATTTGATAGAAATATTAGGCTGCCATCATCTGAACCCACTGATTTCAATATCACTGGAAGGGAAACACACATCATGCGTGGTAGGTGGGTGTATATATCTCTACCTCTTTAATGTTCCTGTAAGCTTTGGTCAAAATTCTAAGTGCTATTTTAGAAAAAATGCTAGTGAAAAAATAAGTCCTAAACTAATACCACAACAGATTCTGAACTTGGGATTATTTTACAGGACAAACGATGCAGTTTCTTCCATTAATAAATAGCACGAAGACATACAGTGAAGAAGGGAACTGCTATAGTATTAAAACGGGCAGAACAGCAAAATCAACAAAATGCAATGTGTGGATCCTCATCCAAACAAACCACTGTAAAGAGATGCCTTTGAAATTGTGGAGAAATTTTAAATACAGCTGAGTATTAAATGAGGGCAAAGAATGATAGTAGTACTATTAGTTGTATTAAATCTTTATCAGAGATACCTACTGAAGTATGTGCAAGTAAAATGATACCTGGAATTTCCTTAAAATATTGAAGTAAAATAGAATTTTGGGAGCAGGAAAGATGAAACAAGAATAGCAGAATGTTAATAATCATTGAAGTTGAGTGCTGGGTTTATGGATATTTATTATACTATCCTCAATATTTGCATACATTTGAAATTTTTCATAATAAAAACTTGAAAAGATCTCTGCTTCAGGTTCCTTGGCAGTAAGAGCCACTTTGAAATATCACTAAAACCTTTTAACAGGGAACACAGATATATCTTCCTGTCTTGGTCTTTTTCACCTGAAATAAAATGATCATTGTCTCTTTTTTTTGTTTGTTTTTTTGTTTTTTTGTTTTTTTGTTTTGAGAGATTTTCACTGTAGGGCGCGTGCGCTCGCCAGACAGAGAGAGACATAGAGACAGAAAGCAAGAAATCACCCCCCAGGGGGGATGGTCACGCCGCAATCCCTTCTCCTCCATTCTCCTCTCGGGATCCTGGGCACGCACGCACACGCGCCTGGCGTGAGTTTTAAGCCACCAGGTCCAGGACACGAACCACGGTCGACTATGTCCAGCGACATAGCCATTACGCTAATTGCTGGTTCCAATGATCATTGTCTCTTAAGATCACTTTCTATAAAAGAAAAAATACCAAAAGAAAAATTTTTTAAATATTTATTTAATCCCATTTGTTATTATTTTTTATTTGAACAGAGAGAGACAGAACGAAAGGGGAAGTGAGGAAGCAAGCTGCCAGAGAGAGAGAAAGTGAAAAAGCAAGCCACAGATCCAGGACTTGAACCGTGGTCAGCCATGTGGGAGTGTCCAGCGTCTTAGCCACCATGCCCCCTGCTGGTCCTGTGAAACCTATTTTTTAATTTCCTATGTTTTCAATTTTTTTTTCAGAAAAATATATTTTTAATTTCATTTTAAATATGTATAGTAATAATACTGAGTTGTTTCTTCTTAATATGTGTATCAATGATTCAGAACTATGTAAGAATATTTTTTTTATATTGCACTACATCAAATGGATCAAAATAAAATTTACTAAAGAGCTGATTGCTCTCATCATATAAAACTGGAGTTTTTAAAAAAAAAACATTATCCTTTGCTTATGTTGCCACTGGCTTTAGACCTTGATGTCAAAGTACAATAAATGAAGTTAGCATCCATATTTTCTTAACATGTGACTCAGGTGTAGCATAACACTTGCAAATATTCTGAAATGGCCTATTTTCTGTCTTATGGCTCCGTATATTTTCTAATTTTGAATTAAATCTATCCCAATTACCAGAAAAATCTTACATCTGGCCATACATCTAGATCCCCTCATCAATGATCTCTGTTACACATGAATTTATAACTGACTGATAACCACTTGAGAACATTACCACTATACTTTAGAAATATTCCAATGCTAAACATTACCTGGTCACTGGCTAACCAAACCTGTATTCTCCTCTGCTCAGGAATACAGCTAAGCCACTTTCCTAACCATTCTTGGACTTAGGTGTGGACTAAAATAATTTAGTTGTAGCTAATAAAATGTGATGCACGTTCTCTAGCAGCATCCTGACACATCCCAGGTTTTACTTTTTTTTTTTTTTTAAGAAATTTTTTTTACTCTAGGACACATGTGCTCACTGGAGACATAGAGAGAGACAGAAATAAAGAAAACAAGAAACTCCCCTCACATGGAAGATGGCCATATCACAATCCCTTCTCCTCCATTCTCCTCTTGGGATTTTGGGCATACATGGACATGCACCCAGCATGAGTCTCAATCTTCTGGGTCTGGGACATAAACCATGGTCAGCCATGTGGGAGTCCAGAAATGTACTATGATGCAATCTCTCGGTCCTTCAGGTTTTACTTTCTATGAATGGTGTCTTTTTGCTAAAATATGATATATTGAGATTATTTTAAGAATAAGTGGGAAAAAATTGAACTCTGGATGGTTTAAAAGATTTTTTAAGAGAGGTTTTTGCTATACAATGTTTGCACTCACCAAAGAGACAGAA